GCAATACTGAAAGAGTCTATGGGCAAAATATTGAACAATGCAGGCAGCATCACAAGATGATGGAAAGAATACAGTCACTGTACCAAAAAGAACTAGTCAATATTCAACCATCTCAAGAGGTAGCATAAGATCAAGGACGTACTTGTGGTGGAAGAAGTCCAAGCTCCATTGAGGCATTAGCCAAAAGCAAAGCTGCAGGTGTACTAACTTCTATTGTACGAATTAATACCGGACTAATTCCAAGAAGCTGGAGATTGAAGATGTCCCACTACCCAGCTCTTCCAAGATAGTACTTTGCTCCATCCCTGCCTCCCCCTTGAGTATATTCCCTCATATTCCTGCATTTGGGACTCACTGCAAAATTTGCAAAATGTCTCTCATGGTGGTGGGTGCTGTTTAGTCCAAAACTGGGGGTCAGCCAGAGGCAACCCCAATATAGGGAGCAGAGCCAGAAGGCAAAAATGTCTAAAAGCGACCGTGGATCTTCTTGCTACTGCCAAGCTGAGACAGCAAAATAGAGGTTTGGCTTTCAAGGTGAGTTGACATGGGTTAGAAACCACCATTTTATGCCCCTCCAAAATTGGTATCTTAAATTACACCCTCTACTAAGGTAAAATCAAAGATGGCCCCTAAGAAACAAAGGGTGTAGCTCAGTTCACAACCTCTACTAAAGGTCTTAAAGGTATTGTAAGGAAATAAAGGGTGTGGCCCTGTAAACAAAGGGTGTGTCTCTGCCCGTGCCCTCCATCAAGGTCAGGTCTCAATGCCCCACTCCTCATTCCTGTCTATTAGCATAGTAGATTGCCCTTCAAAATGGTACCAAGGGGCCATGGCCTTGGTTCCAACCCACAGTGACCTTACTAAGGTGACCAGACGTCCTGCTTTTGGCGGGACAGTCCCAATTTTTGGAAAGAATACACAAGCTAGGGAACGGTCTATTTGGTCCATATAGACCAAATTTTCAATCAAGAATCCCCATCTCCCCACCCCGGTCAATGGTGTCCGGCTTTAAATCTGGTCACCTTAACCTTATGCACAACAGAAGGAAACACTGCCGGGTCCTGCACCTTCCTTCCAGTTGTTCTTATGCTTGAACTCATTGTTGTTGAACCATACATGTAAAGTCCCAAACCGTAATACCAAATAAGGGACCATGGCCAGAAGTTCTATCTTAATTGACCATAGTTCATTGGGAATTGATGGAACACCAATAGAAATGCTCCAACAAACTGATGAAGCACCAGGAGTCGCTTGTCTATGCTAGGAAATTTGGAAGACAACGAACTACCTGGCTAAATGACTGGAAGAGATACCTATTTGTGCCCAATTCCAAAGAAATGTGACCCAACAGAATGCTCAAATTCTACAACAGTACCACTAATATGCCAGTAAAGTTTTGCTGAAGATCCTCCAACAATGGCTGCAGAAGTCCGTTGACAGGGAACTTCCAGAGGTTCAGGCTGGATTCAGAAGAGGACATGGAACAAGGGATAGCACTGCTGGTGTCAGAGAGATCTTGGCTGAGAGCAGAGACTACCAGAAAGATGTTGACTTGCTCTTTAATAACTATGCCAAGACATTCCACTGTGTGGATCGTAACAAACTATTGATAACTATGAAAATAGGAATTCCAGAACACTTAATTGTGCTCATATGCGAACTGAATAAGGGAAAAGTGCTTAATTTAAAATCATGAAAGGTGTGATTCCCCGCCCCCATGTAATCCAATTAATCAATCCTGTGCTGCATACACTGCTTTTTATGAATCCTGTGTAAAATGTTTCATCTAGGGTTTAAAGCATACACACACGAGCACTTACATCTCTGGTACCAAGTTACTTTACCTTTTTAAACTTCAATTTTCTAAGATATTATATGAGCCAGTTCTGATGTATTTCTAATTCACTTGGGCCTCTTTTCATAACAAGCAACTGAAAATCCAACCCAAACTGGCTTATACAACAAAGGAATCTAGCCTGAGGGACTTCCAGTAGCTCATCTGTTGAACTGAACACTTCTCAATTCATCTGCTGCAGATATTTTTGTGGGTCTCTTCTTGTGGTTACTGGGTGCCCTTGAGTCGATTCTGACTCATAACCACCCCGTGACACAGCTGGACTGCCCAACATCATTTCGAACGTAAACATTTTGATAGCAGATCGCCATGTCTTTTTTTGCAGAGATGCTGAGTGTGTTCGAACTGCCAACCTTTGTTGGCAGCTGAGCACTTTAGCATCACACCACCAGAGTACCTTGTCTTCCTATGGTGGTGGGCGCTTTGAGTGACAGGCCATTAGAGTATTTCGACCCTTGATTTACATTCTCTCTCTAGCTTAGAATTTTCCCATAAATGGGTATACTTGATGGCTCGTTTGTCAGTAGACATACCTGGGGGAAGGTTGCAGCCCGATGGCACCATCTTGGGGGTGTGGCCATTGTATGAGAGCAAGAGCCTGAGCTGAGCAGAGCCCTCTGACCTACTGGATCTGGATCCTGGGTCTGCTCTGCTGGTTTCGTTGTGTCGACTGTGGACCCCAGGAGCCCTCAGTGGCCTGCTGACCTTAGATTCATGCAGCCGACCTCAAATTCCTTTACCTCTGCATCCGGCAGTCTGTGGCCCTCCTGCCACCCTACGTCTCGCTCATCAGCTTCCGCAGGCACAAAAGGCGGCTCCACTTTACATCTGACCTATGAACTTAAATCAGACTGTACTTACCTACTTCTACAACTGTGTGCGCCATCTCTTGATACAGGCCTTTCTATACACATAGACATACACGTGTCACTGGTTTAGCTTCTCTACGGAACCCGCCTTGACACATACACTAAGTATACACATTGGCCTTTAAAACCTCGGAGAAACTCCTAGACAGAACACAGTAAAATGGCAGGGCCACCACACTGGTGCTGCAGAAGGCCTCCAGATCGCTGCTCCCCTGTGATTAATACACAGATTTAAGAAACCGCTGCTTGATGGCAAATTTGCCCTGTAACTTGACCTCTCCATTTTAAGGCTAGGACACACAGGAACCTTATACTCAAGCCCCACAACTGACATTAATGACTTGAAATGTTGCCAGATCATCTAGTTTTTGTAAGGTTCCTTTTAGGCTATGGGCTTTTCATACATGTTTCAAACATGCCACTTACCTGTACTAATATGTATGTGATGTCAAAAGATAGTAGCTTATAAAACAATTTGCTTCTTAAAAATTAAGATAGCTGGATCAGGCATTTTCTTAGTCTTAAATTTAGACCTGTCAGAACTTACAATCATCCTCCCCACTTACCCCCTTTCCCAGCCCTAGCCTGGGCTTATGGACACCAGAAAGATAAAACACTGCAACTTTGTGACTGAGTTAACAGATTTAAAGTGCTTCGTATGTGTGAGAACTGATCCAATGAGAGTGTGTTTTTTGTTGTTGTTTTTTATACATAGTAATCATTTATCAAAATTTAGTTTTAGATGCTAAATGTTTTAGACATACACAGAAACATTTTTCCAAACTTAAAAAGAAAATTATAGTAATCTCATTATAGCAAAGTATGATCCAAGAGAAGCAACTAGGATAGAATAATCCTTTATTTCTGGACACTTTCATGAAACTTTCAACAAACCCCTTCCCAGTGGACAAGGATGAACACAAGAACGAGGCTGGAGTCCCCAGCAGCTGCCTGGCTCAGGGCCGGGGCTCCTCCTGGCCCAAGTGGTGAGGTGGAGGTGTGTACTTCCCTTCCTTCATCAGCTTATCCCGCTGCTTTATGATGGCAGACAGGCGTTTCACCTGCCAAAGGAGAAAAGCATTTGAGCTTTGGATCATTAGCCACCAAAAAGGAGGGGATAGGAAAATGACGCTAGACTTCGGCTTTATTGTTAAACTATAGATGGCTTTATGGCCTAAAGCATCTCTGAGATGAAACCCACCTTTAAGGAACTACCTTGAAATCACCTCCTGGGCTTTTAATGAGTGAAACTATATACAAATACAGTACCTTTTGGAAAGCTACTATCTAAAGTGTTCTGACCACATACAGGAATATAGATAGTCACACAGTAATAAAAAAAAACAAAACAGAGATTAAAAAACAAACAAAACCAAAACAAAACTGCAAGGCATACGTGTGCATATTAAAATTAAAAAGAAAAAAAGCGAGATAATAAAAGCTACGATCACGACACAGCTTGTACACTCCTGGTCTCTGTGAGGACGTGTCATTGTTTACTAGGTATACGTGAAGCGGGAGGAGCTGCACGAGGGCTCTTTTCACCACACTGAAGTGAAGGCCTGGGATGGGCTCAGCTAATTGGTCAGGCAAGCCTTGGCTTCCCAACAAGTCAGTCATACTGCACATGGTGGGTCAAAATAAAAAAGATCCCTAGATTCTCTGAAACAATCATGACTAACCTTGCTCAAAACCCACCCCGGGCTTCTCAGGCCACTTGAGAGAAAAAGCAGAATCCTTAGACTGGCCCACTTGGCTATCTCCCTGACTCTGTCTCCCAATATCCTTGCCTTAACTCTCCCTGCTCCAGCTCAGGGAACAATTTGCACTTGCTGTGTTCTCAGCTTGGAACATTCTTTTCTCATATTTACAGATGTGTCTCACGTCCTTTAAATTTCTGCTCAACAATCTCCCAGCCCTGAGCTCTCCGACCACTCTGGATAAAACAGTGTCCCCTCAGCTCCTAACCCCAGCACTTTCTATCCCCTCCTGGCGACAGCCCCGCCTTACTGCTGCACACATCTGCTTCCTCTCTGTACCGCCCTTGTTCGGTACCGGTCTGCTCTGGGCTCTCACTCCTTCCTAATGGACCACAAACGCCACAAAGCAAGGGGACTTTTCTTACTCTGTTTACTGCAAGCTGTATCTCCAGTGTCTACAAAACTTCCTGACATAATCATTATTTAATAAATAATTTTTTCATTTGGAAACTAATTATGGTAATAAATGTACAATTCTGTTGATGTGATTGAACTATGGGATGATTTGATATATTTATGAATCCCAATTAATAAATACCATATATACTCGAGTATAAGCCAAGTTTTTCAGCACATTTTTAATGCAGTTTTTGTAGTAAAATTAGGTGCCTCGGCAGATGTTCGGGTTGGCTTATACTTGAGTATATACAGTAATCTTGTAGTCATTAACTTTTCATAAAGGCACGAGTTATAAATTCAGTTAATCGTCTACTGCTCTTACAGAATTGGTTAGAATGTAATCCTAGGAGAAACCGCCCACTCCCCACAGGAGTCCTAAATATTGATGTGCACATGTTAGCTATTTTAATGAATACATTAATATTTTCTTATTAAAGAGTCTCCCAACAGAGGAACAATCATAGTTGGAGCTATGACAACACCAGAAGGCATGTCTTTCTCAAGCTAGCACTAATAACCACTGAATACCGTGGACAAAAGCGATGGCTCTGTAGCCAGCCTTGCCAGGTTCGAATCTCAGCTCCACTACTTACTAGCTATTTGGTCTCAGAGTCCGTAACCTTTTCTTTGCCTTGAGTTTTTAATTGTTTACGTGGAAAATAATACCAACTCATCTCACGGACTGTTGTGAGAAATAAAAGAACACTGATAGATCTTAACGATGTTGGACTATATTCCTGACGAGTTCAGTGAACTACATCTAAGAGTATTACATTTAGAATCCCTGATTCACTAGTGTTTTTCCTCTAGGGGAGGTATCAGGTCCATGGGGATGACCTCTATCAAGAGATTTTTGTCTCTCTATAAATTTACTGGATGAGATCTCAGAGCAACTTTTTTAATTTTTCAAGATCAGGAAACTAAGACCAAGAAGGAACAGTAATTGGCCCAAAGCTACAAATCTAGTGGCAGCAAATCCTGCATTAAAACCTGGTTCCTGGGGGCAATGGGGAGGGAGGGGGAAAAATGAGGAGCTAATGCCAGGAGCTTACGTAGAGAGCAAATATATCTGAGAATGATGAGGGCGATAAATGTACAAATGTGCTTTACACAATTGATGTATGGATTGTGATAAGAGTTGTATGAGCCTCTAATAAAGTCATTAAAAAACAACAACCCGGCTTCTGCTCCTAATGCAGTGTTCCTTTCACCTCATCAGCCTGCTTCTTCTTCCAAAAGGAGGGTCAAGTGCGTCTGAGTGATAACTAACTGGAAGCCACAAGAACAGAAGACGTGTGTGAACAAAATAGTTGGAAGGTTATCCATCTGTGGGGTCCTCAGTAATACTAAAATATCACTTGCTTAATGATCAGCATTCCTTCATTCTCTCATTCCTTCAGGTCTGGCTTTAAACTATTCAAAGTGCTTATTGTACAGCACATGTTGAGACGACATTTGCAAATTTTGCTACAGAAAATGATGTTATAAATTTAACTGAAAAGGAACAGCAAAAAAAAATTTTTTTTTTAACTGAAAATCTAAACTGTCTTCCCAAACCCCAAGACCTGGGGACTAATAAAATTATTTCTATTTGTTTTCTCTGGAGCAAAGAAATATGCAAAATGACAGCCATGCCCATTTAGAGGTTTTGCTGTAATGAGCAGTAAGACCATGTATGCTATACTTCTAACTCAACACTAGCAGAGAGCTGTCACGCTGTGAACATCCATCTTCTCTCTGCATCTTTGGCCAGATTCACCTAACACAAGCTCAATAGCACCTCCATCTCCCCATAGAAATGAACACCAGGAGGAAAAAAAGGAGAAGGAGATACCAAGGGCTCAGGTAGAGGAAAGCTGTTTTGAAAAGGATGATGGGAGCATATGTACAAATGTGCTTGGTACAATGGATGTATGATTGTTATAAAGAGCTGTAGAAGTCCCCAATAAAATGATTTTTTAAAAAAAGACATAAACAATTGTTACATAAATTGTAGTAGATACACAGAGTTTTAACTACTTCCTTACAGAGGGTGTGATGAATTTGAGATATTGTCACCAAGATATTTTCGTGGACAAATATTGTTTTATAGGCTGCTGCACACTGGGACTCTATGCACAGGCAATTTCTAACCCGAAGGCTGGCAGCCTTGGTGGCAGAGTGGACTACAAGTTGGGCTGCTAGCCACAAGGTCAGCAGTTTGCACCCACTAATCGCTTAACCTTGGAAATCCAAAGGGCACTTCGACTCTGTCCTATAGAGCTGCTCTGAGCCAGAAATGGAAGTGAGTTTGTCTGTTTTAACCTGATGGCTACAGCAGGATGGCACACTGAGGAAAACATGGGAGGAAGGGAGGATGAGGGAGAACACAGAGGAATAAGTACCCTTCCCAATCTGAAGGCACTGACTCTCCTTGCCATGTTATTGAAGAGAAGGTATTTTACCCCAACATTTTGCCAATTCACACTTGGCAAGCCACTGTCCAACAACCCATAAAACAGTCAAGAGTGGCCTCAAAGAAAAAGGAGAGCAGTTCAGCTCCCACCGCTGTCACTTCCTCACCGTTTTCTGACGAAGCAAGCATTCTTGAAAATCATCATACTCTATCTTGCATTCCTTCTTTGCCCGGATACTACCGATTCCATGGGCACACTCGATCCATTCTTTTTCAAAGGAATGGCACCGAGCTGGATTCCTATAGGGCTGGGCAGCACTCTGGATTGTCATCGAGCGGTCTAGATCAAGGTTCATCCTTTTCTGCACATCCAAGAAAGGCATGGCTGCAGTGGAAGGTCTAAAAGAAGAAACGATGCCACAAAATACAAACAAGTGAGAATTTTCAAAATTGTTCATTATGGTTAAATAGCCATCTGAAAATTCATTTGATAGCACTTCCTCAATTTTTTTCTCTCCAAACAGGTTCTTTTAATGTATGGCTCAAGCAATTCCTGTGCTTGTTCTTGTTAAGAACAAGAAACAAACAAAACCAAGAAAACTGAACAATGATGCAAAATATAAAACAGAAAGACTACAGCCTTCAGTATGGATTGCCCATTCATTTGTTAAAAAAACCTAAAACCCTCACAACTGAATAATAGACAATATCAGGATAAAGAGAAAAATTGAAGTTGTCAAGGATTTCACCTTGTTTGAATCTAATCAATGCTCCTAGAAGCAGCAGTCAAGAAATCAGACAACGTATTGCATTGGGCCAATCAGCTGCACAAGTGTTAAAGAGCAAGGATATAGCTTTGAGGACCAAGGTATGCCTGACTCAAGCCATGGTATTTTCAATCACCTCATATGCTCCAAAAGTTCAGACACTGAATAAGGAAGTCTAGAAAATTCTAATAAATTAGAATTATGGTATTAGTGAAGAATATTAAAAGTACCACAGACTGCCTGAAGAACAAATCTATCAGTCTTAAAAGGATGTACAGTCAGAACGCTACTTAGACTCGAGGATGGTGAGACTTTGTCTCAAGTACTTTGCGCATCTTGTCAGGAGAGACTAGTCCCAGGAAAAGGATATCATGCTTGGTAGCAGGCCCATGACAAAGATATGTAAGATGATGGAAGGAAGCACAAAGCAGGATCGATATAGGGGTGTATGGTCGGTAAATGTACACATTTTTAAATCTTGTCATTCTTCCACCCATACTTCCAGTCATTTATTGTGTTCCATGCACTGGAGTAGCGGAAAGAACGCAGTGGGAATGGCGAGTCCAATGGAAGGGCATGCGGAGGTTAAGAGCTTCGGGGATGGTGCACCCAGTGGGCCAGGGAGACCAGAGAACACCTTTTTGCTGGACTGGGAGTTTACCAGGGGAAGGTAAGGGGGCAGAGTAGTCCAGATCATGGCAACAGCACGAGTTATGGTCGGAGGTACGGTGTATATTTGGGGGACTTTCAGGAGAACCAGACGCGACAGAGAAGGAGGAAACGACCTGAACAGGTTGGCGAGACTGAAATCATGCGGAGTCCGGGAGCGTGGGTTTCAGGTTAACAAAGGGTCAGTTAGCCGGTTTGCTAAATTATTTTAAATGGTGAATGCAAACCGGTGATCTGATAAGTAAGCCTCCACCTAATTCACAATTAAAAAAAAAAAAGATAAAACCGAAACGAAATAGAAAGTTGAGGTATTAGTCCCGCAGAGTAAAATGCACTTGAAACTGGCAGGGTAGGTTAGGGTGACGTTGGGTGTGGGGCGAAGAGGCTGCGAAGGCTGACAACAGTCCAGAGAGGTCAAGCTTGGAAGTACAGGCCACGCAGCAAGCCAAGGGAAATGTGTTCCATACATCTAGGAAGGAAGCCTCTGGGCCTAAATGGCCGCGCAGACCGACGCAGCGCATACCTTCCAGCCGAGATGTCCTTGTCTCCTCGCAGGCCGCTCCGGATCCGGCGTTAGGGACTAGAGTGCCTGCCGCAAAGGACGCCTGCAGCGCGACACTCGCCGCGCGACGTCGAGAGCCGACCTTCCCTTCGTGCCGTCTCGCCCTGGCAACCATGGAAACCAAACTTGTTGACCTGCGCTTGCGCCTGCGCAGCAGTCTGAGCTGACCTCCGGAGCCGTTCCGGATGGATGGAGCTTCTGTCGACTACTGCTAGCTCCTTCCCGGTCCCTCCGCCCACTGTGCCTAGTACTCTCGCGATAGCTCCAAGAGGCCGGGAATTGATCAAAATGCTCTAGAACTTCTGGCTTTTTTCTCTTCCCCCACCACTCCACCAGCTCCCTCTGGCCTTTCAGTAAATGGCTGAGCACTTGACCTGTGTAACTAGACTGGGTGGGTTCAAGTTCTGGTATCGCCACCTCTATGTGACCCTGGAAAGATGTTTTTAACTTCACAATGCGCATTTCCTTCTTAGATCATTGAGGCTAACAGTCAGACCAGGAGTGAGTTGCATGTAAAGCACCGAGTGAAGGGCTAGCATATGGAAAGGATTGTAAGACTTCGCAATGATTTGATGCCTCTGTCACGTTCAAGGGACTAAGCCAATGCCCCTCCTCTAGAGCCTGGAGTCTGGAACCTCCTTTGACTATAGTGTTGTTAGATACCGTCTAGTCGGTTCCGACTGGGCGGAAGGAAACACCTCCGTGTACCCCACCATCCTCACAATTGTTCTTAGGTTCCAGTCTATTGTTGCATCTCGTCGAGGGGCTCCCTCTTTGTCCTGCCCCTCCACTTTAGCAAGCATGATGTCTTTCTCCAAGAACTGGTCTCTTTTAATAACATGTCCGGATTATGTGACATGAAGTCTCTCCTTCCCTGCCTCTAAGGAACATTCTGGCTGTACTTCTTCCAAGACAGACGTTTGTTCCTTTGGCAGTCCATGGTGTTTTCAATATTCTTAGTTAGCACCATATTTCAAATTCATTGATTTTTCTTTGGTCTTCCTTATTCAATGTCCAACTTTCACATGCATATGAGGCGATTGAAAATACCATGGCAAGAAAAAAAAGAAAGAAAATACTATAGCTTGGGTCAGGCATACCTTAGTACTCAAAGTGACATCCTTGCTTTTTAACACTTAAAAGAGGTCTTGTGCAAAAGATTTGGTGTGCACGGATACCACAGGCTGTGTGTGATATGAACCATCTGGCTGTGGGAAGAAAATACTAGACTACATATTTTTCTCAAACTTTGATTTCTTTTTGTGTGTACATTTTTATAAGGTGCTTATGGACACTTTCTAACATTAGTGCAATTATTCATGTGACTTGTAAATAAATACTTATTTGGGGCTTGGACTGATTCTTCCCCCCCCCCCCCTTTAAGTGGTATGTGACTTAAAAAACGTTTAGCGAAATCCAGCCTCCAAACTTTCCAGCTTCGTCTAAAATCATCTCATGCTCTAGCCAAGAGTTTACTCGCACTTTAGGACACCAGTCTCTTTGCCTTTTGATTTCTTTCCCCTGGATGACTCCGTCCCGCCCCTCAGTTCCCCCTCCCCCCCATTTGTGCATGCCTAATCCTGCTTTATTTACCTCAGGACTTTTTGTACAGCTTTTACTCCAAATACTGGTTCACCATCCTCGAGTTACAGAAATCTCCCACTTCTGAGAGAATTCCTAAGGTCCCACAGCTCCCTGGCCATCAGGTTTCTTTCGAGTACTGTATATCTATTCTTCCTTATCCAATTTAGCAAGTATTTCCTGATGAAATAAATCCTGAATGTCCAGCAGAATACTGGAAGATTGTGGAATTGGCAGTTGGTGATCTCTGGTCACAAAGAAGTCCAGGTGGCACATGGGTTCAGTGTTGGACTACTTGCCTCACATAATAAGTCATTTGAGTTACTTTTGTCCCACGCTTTTTTTTTTTTTTTTAGGTTTTATTGACACAGAATGCTGATCGTATCCCCTGCCACTTTACTGACTGCTTCTATGAGGCCCAGTAACTTCTTCGAAGAAAATCTGGGATTTTCTATGTAGGATCATGCCATCTGCTAGGTGGATTGTTAGTTCTTTGACATAGATGCCTTTTAAATAGAGCGCCACACTCACAGATAATTTCCTTTATTTCGTGTGCCAATCTGTTACTTAGCTCAGCGGTGACCTCTGGGGATAGTTTCGGTTCAAAGTTTACAGAATACCTCTGGGCCATAGATTCAGAGCGACCTCAGAGTGGCGTTTTCCTCCCATTATCGTGGCCGGGAGTGGCGTGACTGGTTGGTGGTAGCCGGCACTGCTTGAAGCCCCACCAGCTCTGCGGAACTCTGTTACAGATTATTTTTAACCAGGGATGCTCCAGTCCTTTCCACCGGACGATGTACATGCCCCTACCACGTGTGACCCTGAGTGGGCACGCATTTCGGGATGAAGTCGTTCTTTCCCGAAAATGCTGGAAAACTACAACTCCCAGAAACCCACCTCCGGAACGGAGCTCGAACGGTTGCCATGGCAACTGTGGCTCCTGCCGGGATTCCCTGGCTTCTCTACCACAGCGGCTCCTTTCTTTGGAATTAGTGGCGCCTCGCTGCTCCTCAACCTTCCTTCGGCTCCGCACCACACTTAGCCCGCGAGCCGGAGCCTCCGGCTGCTTTCTTCCCGTTCCTATTTGGGGAACCGAGGCTGAGACCTGGCGGGACACGACTCGGAGGTCGGGGTTACCTGTTCTCGAATATAGCCTTGTACCCCACCTTTAAAGCTTAGACAAGGATAGCCCCAAGTTCCAGCTTCCCCTCCCTCTGAAAACTTGCCTCAGCTATTTCGTGAGCTGGGGCTCCGTCTGGAGGGTCCCCCTCACAGGATTTATGTCCTTGACGTATGGGATTTCCTCATGTTCACGCAGCTCTTCATCAGCAGCTTGTGGCAATACCCTGCTACAGATAGGTCGTCTACGATGTAGCACGCTGGGGACTTTGCTCAGGTCTGTTCCCTGACCTTACCGCCACATGTTTGAACACACACCTGGGGTAGGTAGCCTGTGGACCTAGCATGTTACCTACCAGAGTCAGGTGGGAGCTGTAGGAGTCCCGACTAAGCAAATAACCCAAAGCCTCGGACAGAAAGCAATGGCTACCATGCTTGGAATATAATGGAAACCAGAATGGCCACGGCCGCTTAAGTGGGGAGGGAATCATCCAGTTGAAAAGCTGAAACAAGCCCTGAAGCCAGCGGAACTGGGGAAACAAGAGCCAGGCGGAGGCCAGTACCTGGCTTCCATGGGGGTGACTGGATGTGGATAAACACTCCATCCCCAGAATTACCTCCCCTCGTCTGACAGTTATCAGGAGAGGGCAGTCCCTGGAAAAGGGCAGTATGTCTGGTAAAGCAAAAGGTCCGAGAAAAAGAGAAAGGCCCTCGGCAAGTGGCATTGACACATGGTTACAACCATGGCCTAACAATTGAGGTTGGGGCAGGGTGGCGCGGTTACTTTGTTCTATTGTACACTGGGTTGTGGAGTCAGAGATGACTCCTGGGCGCCTACCAGCATTCGTAGTGGAACTGCCGCTTTAAGTTTCCCAAATGATATGATTACAGGAAAGAAAGGCACTGGGGCCATCTATTGCACATGACATGTATTTCTCATCACAAATAAGCACATGAGTCTGGTTGTATAGATCAATATAACTTTATTAGGGAGTCAGCATTTCTGAGCACAGATCAGGGTACTTAAACTACCTGGAGGGAAACTGCTAGGAAGGCTGAGTAGCTTTTCTTAGGAAACACCCTTCTCCTTGTCCACCCATAGAACACAGCAATCGAAACAAGGTCTATTAGACTCATGGCGAGGAACTTCAAAAAGTCATGGAAAAGTTCTGCGACCTTTCAATTCCATTTTTTCCCCTCGAGTCCCGTCCTATTTATGTCAAGTGCCTGCCGGCCACTAGAGGAGTCATAATAGGGGTAATGCACAGAGCTTAAAAACCTCAACTTTCTGTCCTCCACAAGGAAAGAACACGCAATACACCCCTAACGCTTGCTGAATGATACTGAATGTCAGTTTAACATGTCTTCTGATAGACCAGTGGTTCTCAACCTTCCCTTTAATACACTTCCTCATGTTCTGTTGACCCCCAACCACAAAATTATTTTTGTTGCTACTTCATAACTGTAATTTTGCTACTGTTCTTATGAATCATAATGTAAATATCTGATATACAGGAAGTATTTTCTTTTTAAAAAATCATTTTATTAGGGGCTCATACAACTCTTATCACAATCCAGACACACATCAATGTGTAAAGCACATTTGTACATTCATTGCCCTCATCATTCTCAAAACATTTGCTCTCCACTTAAGGCCCTGGCATCAGCTCATTTCCCCCCTCCCTTGTGAATCCTTGATAATTTATAAATTATTTTCATATCTTGCACTGTCCACCCATTTTTCTGTTGTCCATTCCCCAGGGAGGTTATATGTAGATCTTTATAATCGGTTCCCCCTTTCCACCCCACAGTCCCTCCACCCTCTGGGTATGGCCACTCTCACCACTGGTCCTGAGGGGATCATC